CTACATTATGAACAGACCGTGACACTCAGAAAATTTTCCAAAAATTATGCTTTATTACACAGATATAAATATGACATATGGGCATTCGCCCTGGTTTACCATCACCTCAGTATGAGACAATAACACACAGACCTAAAACCATATAAAATGACATCAAGACCGGTCTAAATGTATGTGCAGCAGAGAAAGTGACTACAAGAGTCTAATATCTCTGTAGTACAAACACATAGGTAAACACTTCCCAAAAGAGGTGTATCCAAAAATTATACCATAGGTATACCATAATATTAAATAATGAATATACACCAATATCCACCAATATCATAATGGTGAATCCCGAACAGGAAATCCAAAAATTATACTATGGATATACGTATATCACATGTATGAAATGCAGTAAGCACAATAAGCGTGAAGAGGGGAACAGTAAGCCTCAGGCCTGTTTGGAAAAAGACATAAATGTCAAATATATGATGCAATACATTCCTGTGCCGGCACACGTGGTTGGGGCCCGTTCATCTGTAATGTGAACAGCTGTGTCATAAAGCTCTTGAATGGAAATAAGCCCCATTTATTCCCAGGATGGGAGAAAAGGTGCAGATTGCAAGGCAAGTAACTTACCCTGTATTTCCTCGCTATTCTATGTTTGCTGTGTCTTTATATACATATATATATTTTTGTGACATCTTGTAACTATTTATTTTGCATCTGTTTGACCGTTAGAAATAAATCTTTCTTTCTGAAAGTGTTAAACTGTTTCTAAGCGCTTACTTGCAATTCACGAATCCCTGCCTTTGAAGAGACGCTACTGTTTGTTATATATATCTGTATAGTAGGTCCGCGGGCCGTGCTATATAGATCCATATTTCAATCATTATAGTGTATATTTGGTAACGGGAGTTTCCCAGTCTCCAACAAAAGTGGTGGTGGCAGTAGAGGGTTAGTTGCGTAACTAACCCGACCCAGTAACAAGCGCATTCAGGCTGCAGGTACCGATTGTAGTCCATTAGCTGGGCAATCGCTGTGTAGGGTGCAGCTGGGTGGGGCCTTGTTACGTGCGTCACACCGCGGTTTTGGATCGGCCGGCCCTTCGGTCACGAGTTTGGTGAGAAGGTCTGGGGTCTGACGCCGTGGGCGTGACGTATTACTGTTAGTCGCGGCTGTGCGACCGCGGGTCGTGACACTTGTGAGCTCTCTTTTTTCACCCAAGCTCCAGCCTGTGGTAGGATGTGTGCTTGAAGTACTGTCTGTCCCGTCCACCTAAGCCTGATGCTGAGAGAGGGCAATAGTGTGCCTGAGTCTGGGTCTACCCTGAAAGGTCAGCCCACTTAACCACTGGAGGTTCCAATGATGTGTTATGAAATTTCCTTTAAGTATTTATTTTTGATGAGGTGTGCATAATAATTTAAATCAAACATAAAATGTAAATTTGCTTTAACTACTTCAAGTGCTGTTACGACCATTATTAGATCCATCTCAGCACCACAACCAAAAACTTTATCTAGTTAATTTTTTATATTCAAAGTAATCTCCCCCATCCATCAATATCTCTGTGCTTTATTTTGCTGCGAGATCACTTTGAAAAACTACCCTTAGCATTTCTGTCCGTGGTCATCTTGAGTAAGGGCAGATGATTCATAGAGCATTTACTTACTGGAATCCATCTGGCCTTAGCTCAGGCCTGCATAAAGGAGGGTGTGCTTAGCTGAGAAAAACCCTCCTCCCCTCCTGAAGATTTCTGAGATGTATGACATCATTTGCCATACCTGGAGACCAGAAAGTAACTGAAGAAATGTTTTAAAAAAAGTTTTAGTAAATATGTAAATATAATATTTAGTAAATTAGTAAATATGATATACTTTCCTATCTCTTTATAATGCTAGCAGCATAAGGATTAAAAATAGTCAACATAGACTGAAAGAGTAAAGTTCCACTTCAATGTCCCAATCACAAACACCACGAAGGAGGGTGGCTCCCTTGCAGTTGGGGAGCATAGGGTCAAAACCCATCAAGAAATACCTTCATTGCAATCTGACAGAGGAGACTAAAATTATATATACATAAAGTTTTTTTTTTATTTATCATCTTTCAAATATCATTGTTATACATCTTTTCAACTATGTTTTTTAAAAGCTAAGTACTACAGTGAGACCAACAGCAATACTTTAGGTTGTTTATTTTACCTCTTGAGAGGCAGTATATTATTTTTGAAATGGAAAGGTTAAGTCCTCTGGAGGAATCAGTCATGACACTCACTATGGGCTGCTTAATCATAGTAATTAAACTTTCCCCTCTGGTTATGACCAAATGTAGTAATTATCTTCAACTATTAGATATGATAGTGCAATGTAATAATTTGCAATTGTTAGAATATTGTTATTTTCTCCAGAGATATTTCCTTTTTTCTTCCCAGTGTCACATGTATTTGGCCTGTGAACAAATTGAACAAGCATACTGGCATTGTTTTGTGCTATACCTATATTTAATAGCACATATACTGTATATGTTACTTAATGAAATATGTGCAAACATGCCTGGATATCAGTATACTAACAGCAGATAACACAATCTGTTGACCACAAATTAAAATGCACATAAAATAAAGTGCAGCGCTTTAGAAATAAATATGTAAACATATATCAATAAATAATATAACAGCCCCAAAAGAGTCCACAAAAAATATGTGTAACACCTCTAAAGTGCTCAGAAAAACACTTGGTGATACCATCTTCCTCCAAAAATAAGCACACAGAGCTTCTTACCAAGAGGTATTAACCCTCTGAATAAAGATTAGTAAATCAGCGCTTGAGACAAATGTCCAAGGTTCCATTGCCTTCTCTGGATTAGGCTTACCTACACTGGTTCAGCTGGGCCTTTTACAAGAAGCCTGGGACTCACTCCAAACCACCAATTTACAAATGTTTGGATCCCACAATTAAACCATATAAATTTCATAAAAGGCAAAAAAAACAGTATGGTATAGTATAAAAACTTTACACATTTATTAAAAACTGTATGTACTCACATAGCATTAAAACACACATGCGCATATCAAATACTCTGAAGACAAATCACCAACAAGTTCTAAATGTGATAACATCACACGCCTTGTAACTCGACCCTACGTGTTTCTTCATATGGTGACTTTGCCACATATAATAAATTCCTCCAATTTTAATGATTTTATTTCCTTAGGCAATTAACAAATAAGGATATTGATAGATTAAGGCTTAAAGGTCAGAAATGTTGTGATTTTTTTTTTCCCAGAACTTAGTTTTGTCTTTATGTTTGTCCTTTACTTCTTTTAGTAGACTTTCAATGTAAATCTGGTCAATTAAGTCCGTAGGTTCACTTTCCTCCAAAAGCAGACTCAAATCCCGAATCACCTTAAAGTCTGCCTTAAGAGGTTAGATCTGCCACCATCACTCTTCCTTTCTTTTTTTACATGAAAACTTTAAAAGTAACTTGCAAGCAAATACATTTATATCTTTAATACCCTCAAATTTGGCTGTCTTTTGATTAGGGCAAAAGGAAAGCCCCAATGAAAGTACATACCCCTTCCTCTGCGGACAACTCATAAGAAAGTCCCCCTTGTTTGTGTTTCTGCACTATTAGAGTTTGACTCCCTGGTTTACTTTTGGTGAATTGATTCTATATATAAGATATACATATATATATAACATATATATATATACATATATATATATATATATATATATCTGTTATGTTTAAAGAAATCTGAAGCATTTAATTGTAAACGAGTGTCTTTGATTTGTCTGCAAGTGCTGGCCTTTCGTAGAGGAAGAATTTCCATTTCGGTGTGCCCTAGCAAAGTGGGGGGGAACTTTTGATCTGCATATTGAAGTAGTGTCGGGGATGTGAGAAATCCTTTTCCAATTTTTTCTGGCTAAGCTCCCCCCCCCCCCCCCCTCCCCAGGCACCCAATTGGGTGGATGTGGATGATACAGCCTTTCTGTGTCAGCACGCGATCCTAAAGATTGCTTGAGGTTCCGTAAGTGAAATCTTCCGGGATCAGAAGTGGCATAACCGAGTGCAACTTCACGGCATTATGACTGAGTGGAGGTGGTCCCACTCTCTCCCTCTGGGATAGGGTGGGCATGTCCCAACTGGTGGACGGACTATATATAAAGCTCCTATGCTTGGTGTGAATGCAACCTTCACCCTTCACTAAAGGAGGGTATTTGATTTTGAGCAACATATTGGCAGACATTAAAGATCAGTTGATGGCAATTTCCTTACATATCTTTCTTACTGGGATAATATGGAATTTGTAAATAATTAGATCTTTTTCCCTTAATTTGGATGTAAGACTGTGGTATTAATGTTTAAAATACTGCAAGGGGAATAGTGGAGCAGTACTAGTGTAAAAGACTTGGAGGGAAATTTTTGTCTTGGTATCTATGGGAATTTCCTTTGGGTATTCCCATTAATATAAGATCCATAGGAGTCTGAATAATAGCTCAGTAATAATAAAATACAATATATACAGTATATATATATATATATTAGTATATATATATATATAATAATTATATAAAATTACTCACAGAAAATGAATACACTCGTCACATTTTTGTAAATATTTTATTATATATTTTCATGTGACAACACTGAAGAAATGACAATGTAAAGTAGTGAGTGTACAGCTTGTATAACAGTGTAAATTTGCTGTCCCCTCCAAATAACGCAACACACAGCCATTAATGTCTAAACCGCAGGCAACAAAAGTGAGTACACCCATAAGTGAAAATGTCCAAATTGGGCCCAATTAGCCATTTTTCCTCCCCAGTGTCATGTGAGTCGTTAGTGTTACAAAGGTCTCAGGTGTGAATGGGGAGCAGGTGTGTTAAATTGTGTGTTAAATTGTTGTGTTTTTGCTCTCACTCTCTCATACTGGTCACTGGAAGTTCAACATGGCAAAGAACTCTGAGGATGTGAAAAAAAGAATTGTTGCTCTACATAAAGATGGCCTAGGCTATAAGAAGATTGCCAAGACCCTGAAACTGAGCTGCAGCACGGTGGCCAAGACCTCACAGCGGTTTAACAGGACAGGTTCCACTCAGAACAGGCCTCGCTATGGTCGACCAAAGGAATTTAATGCACTTGCTCAGCATCATATCCAGAGGTTGTCTTTGGGAAATAGACGTATGGGTGCTGCCAGCATTGCTGCAGAGGTTGAAGGGGTGGGGGGTCAGCCTGTCAGTGCTCAGACGATACGCCACACACTGCATCAAATTGGTCTGCATGGCTGTCAACCCCAGAAGGAAGCCTCTTCTAAAGATGATGGACAAGAAAACCAAAAACAGTTTTCTGAAGTCAAGCAGACTAAGGACATGGATTACTGGAACCATGTCCTGTGGTCTGATGAGACCAAGATAAACTGATTTGGTTCAGAGGGTGTCAAGCGTGTATCACGGCAACCAGGTGAGGAGTACAAAGACAAGTGTGTCTTGCCTACAGTCAAGCATGGTGGTGGGAGTGTCATGGTCTGGGGCCGCATGAGTGCTGCCAGCACTGGGGAGCTACATTTCATTGAGGGAACCATAAATGCCAACATGTACTGTGACATACTGAAGCAGAGCATGATCCCCTCCCTTCGGAGACTGGGCCACAGGGCAGTATTCCAACATGATAACGACCCCAAACACACACCTCTAAGACGACCACTGCCTTGCTAAAGAAGCTGAAAGTAAAGGTGATGGACTGGCCAAGCTTGTCTCCAGACCTAAACCCTAATGAGCATCTGTGGGGCATCCTCAAATGGAAGGTGGAGGAGCGCAAGGTCTTTTAACATCCACCAGCTCCGTGATGTCATCTGTTTAGGTGTAATGTTCATGATTTGTTTTCCCTTTCTTTGAGGACTCACATCTTTGGTGAAAGTGAATGTATCCATTTGCACTCAAAAGTTTGCATACCATTGGAGAATTGGTGTTGGTAAAATATTAATGATCAGGCAAAATGCATTTCTTTTATTTCTTATGGGATCCATATTCAATTGTAGGTCATAACGGAAAGGCACGATCATAAAACAAAACATGGCAACAAGTAAACAAATGAAATGACCCTTGTTCAAACGTCTGCATACCCTAAGTTCTTAATACTGTGCATTTCCTCTTTTAGCATCAATAACCGCGTGCAGTCTTTTGTAATATTTGTCTATGAGCCTCAACTTCTTTCAAGTGATATAGCTGCCCATTCGTCTTGGCAAAATGCCTCCAAGTCATGCAAACTCTTTGGTCGTCTTGCATGAACTGCAAGTTTCATATCTCCCTAGAGTGGCTCGATGATATTAAGGTTAGGGGACTATGATGGCCACTCCAGAAAATTCACCTTGTTCTGCTGTAACCACTGGAGGATGATCTTGTCCTTGTGCTTAGGGTTATTGTCATGTAGACCAAGAGAGTCCCATGCACAACTTTCATGCAGAAGGATGTAAATTATCTGCCAGTATTTTCTGATAACATACTGCACCCATCTTGCTGTAAATTTTCACAATATTTCCTGCACCTTTAGATCTCACACACCCCTAAAATATCAGTATGCCACCACCATGCTTCACAGTGGGGATGGAATTCTTGTCATTATAGGACTTGTTGATCCCTCTCCAAACATAGCGCTTATGGCTGTGACTAGAGATGAGCGAATCGAACCAGGCAAAGTGGAATTCGTTTCGAATTTCAGGAAAAATTCGATTCGCGGCGAATCCGAATATTAGCATACTTCGGGTGCGCGAATCGGATTTTTCCCGATCAGCCGGCAAAAGTGTCCCTGCAGAGAGCTCCGCTATTTCTGACAGTTCTCTGACAGTTCCTTCACATGTACAGCGGTTGAAACATTGTATCTATTTGTTTCCATTTAGGATACAGATGTTTTTATTCGGAAATAGATACAATGTTTCAACCGCTGTAAATGTGAAGGAACTGTCAGAGAACTGTCAGAAATAGCGGAGCTCTCTGCAGATACACTTTTTGCTGTACTGGAATACTTCTTCTTTTCATTCTTCTTTTCATTCTTCTTCTCATTCTTCTTTTCATTCTTCTTCTTCTTTTCATTCTTCTTCTCATTCTTCTTTTCATTCTTCTTCTTCTTTTCATTCTTCTCATTCTTCTTTTCTTCTTCATGAGAAGAAGAATGAAAAGAAGATGAAAAGAAGAAGAAGAATGAAAAGAAGAATGAGAAATGAAAAGAAGAATGAGAAGAAGAAATGAAAAGAAGAAGAATGAAAAGAAGAAGAATGAAAAGAAGAAGAATGAAAAGAAGAAGAATGAAAAGAAGAAAGAATGAAAAGAAGAATGAAAAGAAGAAGAAGAATCTTTTCATTCTTCTCATTCTTCTTTTCATTCTTCTTCTTCTTCTTTTTTCATTCTTCTTCTTCTTTTCTTTCATTCTTCTTCTTCTTTTCATCTTTTCATTCTTCTTCTTCTTCTTCAGATTCTTCTTTTCATTCTTCTTTTCATTCTTCTTCTTCTTCTTTTCATTCTTCTTCTTCTTCTTTTCATTCTTCTTCTTCTTCTTTTCATTCTTCTTCCTCTTTTCATTCTTCTTCTTCTTCTTTTCATTATTCTCATTCTTCTTTTCATTCTTCTTCTTCTTTTCTTTTCATTCTTTCTTCTTCTTTTCATTCTTCTTTTCCATTCTTCTTCTTCTTCTTCTTCATTCTTCTTCTTCTTCTTTTCATTCTTCTTCTTCTTCTTCTTCTTCTTCTTCTTCTTCTTTTCAAAAGAAGGATGAAGAATTCTTCTTCTTGAGGATGAGGAAGAAGAAGAAGAAGAAGAAGAAGTAGGATGAAAATAAGAAGAATTCCAAGCCGGCAAAAAGTGTATCTGCAGAGCTCCTCTAAGTTTCTGAGAGTCCTCTCTGACATTCTCTGACATTCACATTACAGCGGTTGAAACATTGTATCTATTTGTTTCCATTTATGGAAACAAATAGATACAATGTTTCAACCGCTGTATGGAGTGAATGTCAGAGAACTGTCAGAAATAGCGGAGCTCTGCAGATACACTTAGCGGAGCTCTGCAGATACACTATTTGCCGGCTTGGAATTCTTCTTATTTTCATCCTTCTCTTCTTCTTCTTCTTCATCCTCATCCTCAGAAGAAGAAGATGAGGATGAGGATGAAGAAGAAGAAGAAGAAGAAGAAGAAGTAGGATGAAAATAAGAAGAATTCCAAGCCGGCAAAAAGTGTATCTGCAGAGCTCCGCTAAGTGTATCTGCAGAGCTCTGCTAAGAAATAGCGGAGCTCTGCAGATACACTTTTTGCCGGCTTGGAATTCTCCTTCCTTCTTCTTCTCATCCTTCTCCTTCTTCTTCTCATCCTTCTCCTTCTTCTTCTCATCCTTCTCCTTCTTCTTCTCATCCTTCTCCTTCTTCTTCTCATCATTATCCTTCTTCTTCTCATCCTTATCCTTCTTCTCATCCTTCTTCTCATCCTTCTCCTTCTTCTCATCCTTCTTCTCATCCTTCTCCTTCTTCTCATTCCTTCTTCTCCTTCTCATCCTTCTTCTCATCCTTCTTCTCCTTCTCATCCTTCTTCTCATCCTTCTCCTTCTTCTCATCTTCTTCTCATCCTTCTCCTTCTTCTCATCCTTCTTCTCATCCTTCTCCTTCTTCTCATCCTTCTCCTTCTCCTTCTTCTCATCCTTCTCCTTCTCCTTCATCTCATCTTCTTCTCATCCTTCTCCTTCTTCTCATCCTTCTCATCCTTCTCCTTCTTCTCATCCTTCTCATTCCTTCTCCTTCTTCTCCTTCTTCTCATCCTTCTCCTTCTCCTTCTCATCCTTCTCCTTCTCCTTCTTCTCATCCTTCTCCTTCCTCATCTCCAAGGGCATTTAAATTAAAGGTACAGTGTTCTGCACTAATATAAAGGCTCTCTGAAGCCTAGAAACCCTTTTTATAAGTTAAATTCGCAGCGAATAAATTTGCATCGAATCGAATTTCTTCCTCAAATTCGGCGAATCAGCCGAATCGAATTTTTGAATAATTCGCTCATCTCTAGCTGTGACCATAAACCTCTATATTGGCCTCGTCACTCCAGATTACAGTGGTGCTAGAAGCTGTGAGGAGTGTCAAGGTGTTGTCAGGCATATTGTAACCATGCTTTTTTGTGGCATTGGTGTACTAAAGACTTCTTTCTGGCAACTCAACCATGCAGCTAATTTTTGTTCAAGTATCTTCATTGTAAGGCAATTCCAGTAGGGCGACTGGTGCATAGATGTGCATATGCGCATAGCATCTCTCATAGAATTGAGCATAGGTGCATGCATGCATGAGCACAGGGATGCACGTGCACGTTGGAGCATGTCCACAGTTCCTGGCGCCAGATGGGCTATTTAAGGGATGCTGTTCTCACTGTCCGTGCTGACTGGCCTTTAGCTTTTCCTGTGTCTTGAGTGTATCCTGTATCTGATTTCCGTTGATAACCCAGCCTGTTACTGACCTGATCCTGGATTCTGCTTGTACCTCTGCCTGCCTGTTCCTGACCCCGCTTTTGCCTATAATTCTGTACTGACCGTCTGCTACTGACCTTGGCTACCTTTGTGACCTTGCTCCTGTCTCTTACCTGGCTTCATACTACTGCTGAGTGCCTGCTTCCTGTTATCCTATTATCAGCTCCAGTCATCGCAGTATGTTACTGCCTAAACCCTGCTGAGAGCCTCACCACGCCACATATCCAGAACCTGTAGTACATGCAGAGTAGCCCTTTAACCTTGGCTTATCAAGCTTGCATCACCTGTGCTTCTGGCCTGATGTCCTGCCTGACCTCTCTAGCTTGCATCTCCTTCTGCAAGTTCTGCTATCAGTTCCTGCCAACACTCGTGTTCCTCTTATCCCTTGTCACCAGTTATTACGCCTTCAATGAGGCCTGGGCTGGAGATACAAAAAGAGGCCAACCTCATCAATTCAGTCTCGTACCAAGTATGTGATATTCTGCTCCTTGAAACAACCACCGCATCTTTTCCAGAGCCTGTATTTCTCTCTTGTTTACCTGTGAGTTTTTCTTTGCATCCTAAACAATTATTCTGGCTGTTGCAACTGCGATCTTTTTCGGTCTACCTAACCTTGGCTTGGTATTAAGAGATCCCCAAATTTTCCGCTTCTTAATAAGTGATTGATCAGTACTGACTGGCATATTCAAAGCTTTGGATATCTTTTTATATCATTTTCCGTCTTTATAAAGCTCCATTACCTTGTTATGCAGGTCTTTTGACAATTCTTTTCTGCTCCCTATGGCTCAGTATTTAGCCTGCTCTGTGCATCCACGTGACAGCTAACAAACTCATTGACTATTTATACACAGACACTAATTGAAATTTAAAAAGTCACAGATGTGGGAAATTAACCTTTAAGTGCCATTTTACCTTTTTGTATGCCTTCAAAATCCCAATTAGTGCTTAAAATAAAAAAACTA